TCGCCTACGCCGAGCATCTCACCAATATATATATATATATATATATATATATATATATTTATATATTTATATTTATATTGTGTGCTCTCCGTCTTTTCCAAACGGACAAATGACGCAGTCACCCGTAGGACATGTAAGTCACAGACTAGGAGCTTCGAACTATTTTCAGGTCCTGAAAACGACGATTCAGTCGAAACGATGACCATCGAAATAAAATCCCATTTTCCTTTCACTCGGGATATTCGTCCATTATTGATCAATCTGATGCCGTTTGCCAATTGAAAGTTCGAATTAGACTTAGCATCCTTTCAACATAATTTCTTTACGAAAATGGTGTCGTAGAGTGCGATGTGTTGTCTGCAACCACCCTATACCTTTTACTTGCTAGTTCACGACTAGACTACTGTAGTTTTTTGGGTCCTTACTCCATTTTTGCTTTTATGGGATCGAATTGAATCATCGTCTTTTCAGACAAAGTCTCTTCATACAAACGGCTCGCTGGTGGTGTTGAATTCATCAACGAAATTCCAAAGTCACCAGCCGGAAAAATTTTGCGACGAGAGCTACGAGACCGAAAAGAAATCAAATCGAAATTATAGATGAATTTTCAGAAGGTTCGTGTCAGAAACGTAGCCACTATACTTATAGGCATTGTCCAAATTCAACGATTTCATACGGTAGATTACGGTAGTACGACAAGGATGACAGTGTGGCTATGTTTTTGACACCGACTGCTTCTTCCATACCTAATTCATATCATGGTTGGCTAGCATAACAGCCGACCTACGCTATCAGCTGATTGCTCAGACATCACTGATGTCAAAACATATGCAGTTGCACATATTATGTACGCCTCCATTAACTATACATTCCGACTCCGAACCTACTGACACACTTTCAATGGTTTTTGGAGGCAATCGCACTTCTTTGCCATACATGCTCTGATTTTGTTTCATGCTGTATTCATTTGTTGATATTTTTATTTGTATGCATTTAAATATCATAGATGATTTATGGATCTTTCGACTTAATAAAGAAAATTAATATAAATGAACATTATGAGAGGTGACCTCTGAAATCGCTTAATCAATTGTATGTAATCATGCCGGCAATAGTATAATAATCCCGAAAAGAAGTCGGGTGCATGGCGCGGCTCAATAGGCTTCACTTTTTCAACTATGTAGGTGGAGCGATTAAGAGTCAATAATTGAAGAGTCGCTGACCTCTCGGTAGAACCTCCAGTACTTTTCGAGGAGCTGGGACCCAAAAAGTAAAAATTTTTGGAAAGCACCTCTTCTTCTTTTACTTTTTGGTAGTTTGTATCTGCTGTATACCAGAACAACCCCCAAATTTCTGGTTGGATTCAATTTTTCCTGAAAATGTTCTTGATTGACTTTTTAAAATTGTGCTAGAACTGAATAAAAGAAAAATGGTGCACGGAAGGGAGTAAGTTCGATTCTTCGCGGGTTTTGGCATTTCTAGATTTGCTTAAAAATGTCATTGGGCCTGTATTAATTGATTTGAATTTCATCGGAGCAAATTCGACTGGGCGGTAGGAAGTACCTCGACATAAGCTCAACTGCAGGAAGTGGAGGCCTTCGAACTGAGCACGCAGAGATTCAGTGCTACCCAGATAGTTGTCGCATGGTATTTCCTCTGACATTCTGCCAAAGTTGTGGCCTTATCCACTTTTCCGTCATATAAGTTGATTCTCGTTTCATACGAAAAACTCCATCCTCTTTTCTTTTTCATACACCTGCTTTCCTCCTCTTTCAATACTTCGCTCTTCCCATAGTGAGCCTTGGAGCCGTTTCTCTCTTGGTGAGTAGAAGCGTTGACAGGCAATGAAAAGTATCGTGAAATCGTCACAAGTTAATAGAGCTCAGAATGCCTTCATTCTTATCTTTCTGAATCTGTCCTGTCTGTGTTGTAAAAAGAACGCTCTTCAGTTGTGCTTCTTATATGTATTCCATTCCGCTTCGTCCGAGAAGATCCTCGAGATTTTAAGAAATGCTCTGCATTGTCTAGTACTCAATGCTTCCCTCCAATTTTCCCTTTATTCCTACAGAATACCCTTGCTTTTTGTTTTTCATCCCATCCTTTCTGGATGATTTGAGGTTATGAGCATTTGCCCACAAAATTTTGTCGCATGTGCACTACAATCTTTAGCTCAAGTAAGCTCGTGCCTTTGGGCATTGAACTAGATTCGAGTACTCTTCATTGAGCTGATAGTGGGACCTATACTTTATTAAAACTGTAAAGCGGAACACTGTGTCCTACTAACCGTCAAGATAAGGATGTTGACAGTTTCAGCAGCTTGCTGATAAGGTTCAAACTAGGCAAACTATAAGCATTTCGAGTGAATTATGTACAAAGCATAAACTCTTTCAAGTCTTTCCCATTATGAATTTGAGGGGTTATTGCAATTGCGTTGTATTGTGATGCGCTCTTACATTCGACTTCCATTCAAAGTGGCAGTAGCTTATTGAAAGCATATGTGACCTATGCAACGACTTGCTGGTCCGCCGATGTACATACAAGCCAAAGCTTCTATCCCGGACCAATCCGGCACCATTTGACCGGAGGGGGACGGAAAATTTAGTTGGCATGGCGTGCATATATCCCGGACCCGATTCTCATTGTCAGATCATGCAATGTGATAGTGTGCCCCTTCTTGCCACTACATCGAGCATGTGGGCAGCCAGCTGTTAACAAAGAAAATTATCGAGATGCCGGGGTCACCCAGAAATCTGAAAATCAAATACATATGTATCTAGTATCTTAGAGAACGGGGATGAACCCCGATGGAAGACTATAACTTTCATCGGGTTTTCCCCCAAAACCGGTTTTGATCCGTTGCTCTCAGTCCAGCCGCGGCTAACTAGGTGAGTAGTTCCGTCAGTCTTATTTTATATGCTCGTGAACGAGGTTAACCAGTTTTTTCCGAGTTTTCCAAGTAGGTCGCCAATGTAATCCACCTTTCCTTTGGACTTTTTCCAATGTAAGTAAAAAGTACTGCCGGGAAGAAGCTTCGAAGATTCCACAAAGTAACCGACTGATCAACGTATCGAATGTAGATGTACTCGAGTACTCTGTAAAGGGGCTTTCACCGACTAGTGTGGGTCTATGGTATTAGGACAGATCCGGAGGCATCCACCATGGAAGTAGCGATCTAACTCGGGGAGTACCATGAATCGTCGTTGACTCCCTCCTATTCCTCCTGGTTCCAAGCTATAAAGCGACATAAGCGTTGTTCAGCCACTGGTACAACACTCTTATACTCTGTGATAGCCGTCATCAAGAAAAAAATCTCCAAGATATGACCCAGAGAGTGTTGAGGTGTGGTGTTAACACAACAATGACAATTTGATAAGCGCTCTAAAAACCAGAGATGGGTCTTGTGAAGAGACTGTCTGCGGAAAATCCTCTTATTGGCGGTGCTTTAGAGCTCCGACAGAAAGAAGACTACTGGTTCCTCGATCGGAGACTATTAACTACCGATCCACAATCATGTGAATCAGGTCGAGATGTGTGAGCAGCCTAACAAGACCAAAAAACAACAAATTCAACCTCATTAAGATTTAAACCCGACTGTTGTCATAATATACATAGGTACATACTGAGAGCCTAAAGGATCCTTTCTACGAAACATATCACTGAAGCTACACGAAAAAGTCTCGAGAGGGCTGAAGCAACGGTTAAAGGAACGCCATCTCAAATAATCTCCTAGCCAGTAAGATCAAAATCGTGACAGTGTATGCCACGGAATACAAGTTAGGGGGCGCAGCGATTGAACGAGCATCGTATTAGTGTCAAGGAGAAAAAACGATCTCCTTGACACTAGTACTGTTATGGAACGACTTCTGATGCTTAGGATGGGCATTGTTATTCTCCCCATGAAAGGTGAGATTTCAGTATTAGTTTCATGTGAATATCCAAATCTCTACTTCTGATTACCTAGCTTCGGGCCTTAATATCCAGCACCAATTCGTAACAAGGATAATCTGGCAAACCGTTTTATAAGTAGTTGGTTCTATCCAGTCAAGGGGCTGTTAAGGAACAATCACCCTTGATTTATGGGCAAAGAAAGTACTCATACAGGATGGGAATATTCGGCCAAGCACAGCAAGAACCTCAGCACGAAGACTTGCATTGTAGGATGGAAAAAGATCTTCTCTCCCCATACTCGCCATGGTTCGAATCATTAGGCTTTCGTTATACCTCCAGGACAGTGTTAGCTACTTTTGCCCNCCCCCCCCCCTCATTCCGAATTATCCTTCATACTTCCTCCTTCCAATTTTTAATTGAAGTCAGCCCCTTGATTTTGGTTCAACTTCATCGCCTAACACCTTTCGCCCCTCCCGCATTAACTAAGCTTTCCATAACTTCTGGGATGATTCACCGGTTCCAAACCCGTCTGGGATTTTGAAGCACTTGTGTACATGTTGGCTCTCTCCGATGTTCATTGTAGGTGTAAAGACCAGATTCGAAACGGAATAAATAAGGATGGAGGGCGTGCGGCGAAAAAATTCTTCCCTAGAACTTCCTATTGGACGTTCACGAGTTACATCAGTCTTTTAATCTATAGGATTTCGTAGTTCACTGTTTTTTTCCATTTCATTGGTGCCATTTCGTGTAGACCTTTATCACTTTGTTCTAGATGTATTCGTACCAATAAAGAAAAGTCAAAGTGGTTTTTGTAGTATAAAGGCCTGAGTTTGCGATCTCATTGACACCATGGTGTTGGGAAAAAAGAATTGTCACTGAGGTGTCAACAGAATCGTCAGCTCTTAGTGATGATCTTAGAACGACCATAGTACGCTGCCCTTTCAGATAAGCCCCCTTCAAGAATGCAGGCCTTTCATCAACCCAACGAATCGACCATGTTCAACGACGGTGTCGATGTGATCGATACCATTCAAAGCAATGCCAAAGCTGGACGGATTGCCTTCGTGAATCCTTCTCAGAACCTTATCCCTGGATCTGTACTGGTATACAGAATGACTTGTTACAGGTCGGTGGAGAGCTTTATGACGAGACTCTCGCATCGATACGGCTATATGATGCAGCTCGAGCAATCGCCAACTACATTGCTTGCCTCTTTCCCGAGGTTATACTCAAACTTCTCCTCCTTACTATGGGTCTGAGGTAATCTTGTAGAGTTTTCAGAATGTCTCTGCTTTCATTTTCTCCGAAAACCGATGGGAAGTTGTCGCTTTCTACCTGGGAGTCCGGCTCTTCGGAGGATCCGTTAAGTTCCTGGACTACACTGCGTCAGAAGGTCAGAGACTAAATCCTACAACCTTAACCTTTTATAAAGCAATACAGTTACCCTGCGTTTTATTTTTTTGGTAAAAATCGATTACCTTGAAGATAATGGGGAACTGTCATTTTCAGAGAAGCTTCAACAGGATTTCCGAGGTTGCGAACTTGTTTTATGTGCTGGGAAGGATCTGATGAACGTTTTTCGTGGCACAGTGGAAAAAAATGTGGTACGTGCATCTTACTGCTATCTCCCTATCACCTCGACCCCGTCATCAAATGGGTTCTGAAACCGGCGCCTTTAGGTCCTTTTTTATAAGCATTCATCAGAAGGGCGACCTTGAACGTGGGAATACCAAAAAAGCGATCACAAAAAAATGTAGTAAAAATCACGTTTGCATAAGATAACAAATGAAAAG